TCCCTTTCCTTCCACCTCCTCGCAATATGTGGCCAGGTTCCGGGATATTATCTCTCACATTTGACACCCCTTCCTGTCCCAATTTGCCACAGGCCCAGTCCAGCTCTTTATCATTTCTCCCAGAATAACTGTGTCCATTAGCTTTCCTATTGGGTTCTCAGATCACACGACATTCCTGTGTTCCTACACTACATATCTTCACTGTCCCTAAGACCATGCTGGCTAGAGGGCCATGTAGATTGTGCTCCTGACTTGCTTAATGGCTGTGGCCTCAGGATCTTTGCTTATAAAATGGGGACAACTACCACCTGTTTGCACGATGGTGGTAAATGTGCTCATGCCAAGAAAGTGCTTCCAGGAGTACAATGTTCACCATTTGGATTGTAACTCTCCTCTCCCTCTAAGAAGACTGCTGTGAGAGACGGCAGGATGAGAAGGTGTTGGTTGCTAAGGCAGGCCCAGGACTGACAGTAACTATAGCCCTGCACTGTCCCTAGAGTCCCAAGCATTACGCTCAGTGACAGCTCTTTGCCCCAGCTAGACATGGCCTCTATTTGGCCTGAGACAAGGTCCTTTACCCCCTGAGGGCAGGTGGGCGTTGATCAGGACTTGCACCAGCCTGGTTTTGCTTGTCTCAGCCAACACTTTTCTGGACCCAGCCATTCCTGGATTCCAATGCCAAACTGTGAACTTACTCATGGCATTTAGCCAAGGCCCCATGCCCGGCTGTCTGTGGTGGCTGCCAGTCAGTGTGAACTCTGACTAGGACCCTCACAGGGCTTGAGAAGTTAGAGGGAGGGAAAGAAGGAGAAAATAATAAATGACAAGAGCCAGGCATCTGTGGTTCATGACTGTAATCCTAGATACTCAGGAAGCTGAGATCTGAGGATCATGGTTCAAAGCCAGCCTGGAGAAGGAAAGTCGATGAGATTCTTATCCTCAATTAGCCACCAGAAAACTGGAAGTGGCTTTGTGGCTCAAAGTGGTAGAACACTAGCCTTGAATTAAAAAGCTCAAGGACAGGGCTGGGATGTAGCTCAGTGGCAAAGCGCTTGCCTAGCAAGTACAGCATTCTGGGTTCGAGCTCCAGTACCAAAAAGGAAAAGACAAAAGAAACAAAAAGCTCAAGGACAGCACTCAGGCCCTGAGTTCAAGCCCCTTGACTGACAAAAAACAAAAACCAAAACAAACAAACATGATAAGGGAAAGAGCTTGAGGTGGCTTCCTATCCACGATCTCTCTGCCCCCTACAAAGTAGAAAGGTTGAGTTTAACAGAGAAGGGAGCCAAAGCTGAGATACTTAATTCTCCCAGCAATCTCTTCTTCTGTCCGTCTATCAAAACAGCCACCCTGTGTCTATTTTCTTTAGTCCTGGTCCTCTTCCATCTCTGTATCATGTTACCAGGTCCACTTGTCCCTCATGGAACCTGGCTCCCCCTGGATCTCCTGTCTTCCTCATTCACCTTGAAGGGTGTCAGATGCCTCCAAAGGGAGCATCTAGGCTCTTTTTGGACTCTGTCTTGAGGAAGTTCAGAACGTCTGAGAAGGGTCTTAGCTTGTGCATGCTGAGGCATGACTGCACGCGCGTGTGCCTGAGGACATGTGAAGCTAGGTCTATAGGTATGGTTCCCTGTGGTCCTGCCACAGGGCACACCAGGAGTGTCATGATTATGCCAAGGGAAGGGACACAGCCCGAAGATGCAGCCCCTTGGGCATAACTGAAGGTCAGTGTGTGGCTAGGAGCAGGGGCCCAAGAGATAAAGCAGACAGGGTTAGTGTGCAGTGTGCTCATGTGCTCAGGTCTTTGTTGGCTCATGGAAGATCAGGCATGGAAGCACAGTGCCCCCTGCTGGCTAAACAGCTCCAATGACCAGGACTTTGTCCTCTTTGGACTCAGCCAGTGGGCAGCGCCAATGTCAACAGCAGGAAGTTCAAGGCTGGTAACTCCTTGTGCCTGGATGCCCCACCCATCTGGAGGGTTTATCTCATTGGCCAACTGTTCACCCTATCACATCTCCTGTCATAGAAAGGAATATACGTTGCTGAGCAGAAGACAGAGGCCAGTCACCACTATGCCCTTAACCTGAGCCTTCGAAGATTTGAGGGGCAAGGGTTCCCTTCTGTTTGCCCTGATGGGCTGGACTATGAACCTACTGCTTCCTGGTAGCCCAAGGAGACCCACGTCTGAGAGACTATGGCAGGTCCAAACTTGGCAGCACCCGCAACCCTACTATGGTCCTCAAGACCCTCAGCACCCAGCGCCACCCCCACTTGGCAAGAGCCCAGCCCCAGGACTCAGGAAGAGAGAATGCATGCTGTGGATTTGGTGGGGTAGGCCTCCCCCTGCTGGCCCAAACTGGTGCTTGCAACCAGGCTCCCCAGGCTGGAGCAGCTGCTGGAAATCTAGAGGTGAAGATGAGATCACAGAGGGTGAGGGGCCCTCCTTTGGCATTCACAGGAAGCCCCAGGCTGGCAGGCTGGCGGGGGGAGGGAGGGAGATTGAAGCTTCTGCTCACAGACCCTAGACTACGGTTTGGAAGAGGACAGGGTGGTCTGGACTGGCTAGCCTACGTCTGCATTTTTTCTTTTCTTTTTTTTTTTGGGTCCGGTTGTGGGGCCTGAACTCTGGGCCTGAGCATTGTCCCTCAGCTCTACAGCTCAAGGCTAGCGCTCTACCACTGGAGCCACAGCACCACTTCTGGCTTTTTTCTTTTTGCTTATGTGGTGCTGAGGAATCGAACCCAGGGCCTCAGGCATGCAAGGCAAGCACTCTACCACTGAGCCAACTTCCCAGCCCTGCATTTTTTCTAATTTATTTTTTTTGGGGGGGGGGTCCAGTTGTGGGGCTGGAAGTCTGGGCCTGGGCACTGTCCCTCAGCTCTTCAGCTCAAGGAGCGCCACTTCCGGCTTTTTTCTTTTTGCTTATGTGGTGCTGAGGAATCGAACCCAGGGCCTCAGGCATGCAAGGCAAGTGCTTTACCACTGAGCCACCTTCCCAGCCCCGTCTGCATTTTTTCAAGTCCTTCCTCAGGACATCTTTCTGACCTGTTGGAGCAAAACTGAAGAGCAAAGGGGAGGTTTTCATTACAGAGGTCCCTGAGCAGCCGTGGCCACAAGCCCAGGCTGGTCTCTCTGTCTCTGTTTCTCTGTCTCTGTCTCTGTCTCTCTCAGAAGTACTGGGATTAGAACTCAGGGTCTCACATTTGCTCATTTTGCTTGCTTAGCTGTCGGTCTGCCACTTGAGTTGCATCTCCAACTGGTCCTGGGGTTTGAACGCAGGGCTCTGCTGATTTCGTTCAACACCATGCAACGAGCACTTGACAGGTACCCTCCCTTCTTGCCCCCTGACACGGTCTCATTTTCTCCCCACAGCAACCCATGAGGTAGGTCAAAGTATTCCTGCTTTACAGAGGGTGTAAGTAAAGCCCAAAGAGCTTGTTACCCAACTTTGTCAGCTGCCTCTCCTTCAGACTATAAGTGACCCTCGGCTGTGGCCTGAGCTGCTCATTTGGTTGACCTGTGCACTTTTCCCGATAAAGAGCCAGCAAGTGCCAGGTACCTCGCTTCCTTACCTCATCTGATTCCTATGAAGAGACAGTGGCTCAGAGAGGTTAGCGAGGCTTTCTGAGAAGTTTTGGTGACAACGAGCCAAGAGCAGGCAAGGGCAGAGGAGAGACTGTAGGACAAGGGACACGGAGGGCAGTCAGGAGAGAGGAGACTTGCAGCAGGATGGTGCCAGAAGTGGCTTTTGTGGGAACACAGGAGTTGCAACCCCAAGACACAGACTCCCAACATGTCACACGTGCTCGTGCATGCGTGTGTGTGTGTGTGTGTGTGTGTGTGTGTGTGTGTGTGTGTCCCTAGAGGCTTGAGCTCAATGCCTAGGCACTGTCCTTAAGCTTTTGTTGCTCAAGGCTAGTGTTTTACCACGTGAGCCACAGCTCCAGCTTTCTGCGGGTCAATTGGACATAAGAGTCTCACAGAGCTTCCTATCCAAGCTGGCTTCGAACTATGATCCTCAGATCTCAGCCTCCCAAATTGCTGGGATTACAGGTGTGAGCCGCTAGTGCGTGGCTCGAATGTCACCTTTGTGAAATCCTGATATGCAGAGACGGGAGCTGAAGACTGTGCCCGTCACAGATGTGTGTGTGGTGGATCCTGCCTGGTCACGTCCTTGGCATCTCGAGGGGTTGCAGTTGGTTCCCCTCTCCTACACCTTGTCTGCCACACCTCCTCAAGTGGTGGGACTTGACATTGCTGAGGAGGGAGGGGTGACTTGGGTGACCCTTCCTTCCTGGCCTCTCCTCTTTCCATATTTGCTCTTCTCTCTCCCCACTGCTGCCTCTTCTAGCCTCAGCCTCCCTCTCTTCTTGGAGGGCTTTTGTACCCTATGGAGAAGATCATTGTGTGTCAGGGGCGTCAGTATGGGATCCCAAAGGGGAGAAGTATCAGGCCAGAGTGTCCCCAGAGGCTTCTAGAGAGGTGCGAAGGCAGAATATAAAGAGCAGCAGTTTATTGGGAAGCTCCCCAAGCCAAATATTAGCAGCCCCACCCCTCATATCCTTGACCAGAAATAAATAAAGTGGCATTCAATGAACCAGTCTGTCTCTCGTTGAAAAGGGAGGAGGGTCCCCCTGTGTGTGCCTGCCCAGATCTTAAGGTGCCAGGTTGGGTGCCAGGGAAGAAGACGGCAGCCATCTCTTTCCCACCTGGCCCTGGGCGGCCTGCAAGCTTGGCCCGGTGCTCACAATCTCTGACCATATGGCAGCACAGTCTGCCCTGTCCCAGAGAGACCCTGCCCCCACCAGCCCCCAGCCCCTGGCCCTCACCCAAGTGTCCCATTGCGGTTGGGCTTCCATTTCTAGCTGTGGAGTCTGGGAAGCCAGCACCCCTTCCCCAGCCAAGAAGACCAATGGTGAGGGGAGGACATGTTGCTGTCAGTTTTCTTCTCTTTCTCCTGTGGTTCAGGGGCTGAGGGGCCGGCCCCTGTCGGATGCTGGTCAGTGGGCAGTGAGCTCTATGGTCTTTTTCCTCTCCTCCCGATGCTCCTCCCAGTCCTCTTCAGGTTCATAGGTGCCCTTGATGACGGCCACACGCTCGCTGAGGCTCAGGGAGGTGGGGAAGAGCAGGTAGAAGTAAAGGATGGCAGCCAGGATGGCTCCCACGATGGGCCCCACCCAGAAGACCTGAGGGGACAGAACCAACGAGGTCAAAGGCTGAGCCCCAGGCCCACCACAGCCTTCCCCACCAGACAACAGACTCATGGGATTCTAAGAGGTGACAGACATACAGACTTCCAGGCCTTCAGAGGGAAAGACTCTCTAATAGAACCACCAATGGCCCACTGCCATTGCTGACTCCCTGACATGCAGACCTCTCAGGGAGGCAGAGTCCAGGGCTGATAGGCCCCTCCAATACCAACCTAAAGAGAAGCAGTGAACTTTCAGAAGGGGACAGATGGAGATGGAGAAAACTCTCCCCTTCACTTCAGGATAGCTCCTCTCAAAGGAGGACTGTCCCGAGGGACAGACTCACAGGCACATTCTTCCAACCCCTCTACAGGGACAGATAGAGAAATCACGGAGAAGACAGACACACAGATGCACAGAAGGACAGGAAAAAATGGGGAGTTCAGCAAAGATCTGTACTGCTAGAGACAGTCCAGATCCCCTTCCCTAGAGTAGTAGATAGTGCCTTCTGCCTTGGGGCTCCTTGTCCCCAGGATCTCAGGCCAGATAACTTCCCCTTTTCTGGCTGCATTTCCTTTCTGTGTTCCTTTCTTTCTCCAGATCCCAGGTTCACCAACTCTGGGCCCATATCATCCAGGAAGTCTAGTCTCTGTTCTCCGCCACTGCTAAGTTTCCAGGCTCTCATGGAAGCCAGGGGAGGACCTAGACTCACCCAGTGCGAGGGGCTGAACCGCTTCATGACCACTGCGGGACCGAAAGAGCGGGCTGGGTTCATGGAGCAGCCGGTGAAGTAGATCTGGACAGAGAGGGACAACAGTGAGGAGGGCAATATGTCCCCATAGATGCCCATAGAACCAGGACTCCCAGGGACATACAGTAGCCCATTGGTCAACCAGCTCTCCAACTCAAGACTCCTGAATCCGAGGCTGATGACCTTTCCCTTCTTGGAAGCTGGCTGTCCACTTAATCATGGGCCCCTACCCCTGCCCTCCTCTCTTCTCCAGCTTCTTTTTTTTTTTTTTTGGTCCAGTCGTGGGGCCTGAACTCTGGGCCTGGGTGCTGTCCCTCAGCTCTTCAGCTCAAGGCTAGCGCTCTACCACTTGAGCCACAGTACCACTTCCGGTTTTTTCTTTTTTGCTTATGTGGTGCTGAGGAATCGAATCCAGGGCCTCAGGCATGCAAGGCAAGCGCTCTACCACTGAGCCACCTTCCCAGCCCTTCGCCATCTTCTTCACAGGCTTTATTCCCTGACCTCACCCCATCTTTCCCTTTTTCCCATCTTTTGAAAATGTTAGGGGATCAAGTCTGGGGGCTAAATGAAGCCAGAGATCAGCAACCCCAAGACCAAGTTTCAAATAATAGTGGGTCTCATCAGATTGGAAGGGACACTGTTCCAGGGACTCCATTTATTTGAGTGGCTCCGCCACAGAGTGTCCCACCTAAGTGACAACACCACTCACCCCCACGAGGTGGCCCAGCGTGACAGACAGGCCAATGGACAGGGCTGGAGAGCCCACAGGGCTGGTGCGGCGGGAGTCCGTGGAGGAGAAGATGCAGAGGGCCAGCTGGAAGGTCAGGATCAGCTCGACCACCACGGCCTGGCCTGCTGATGTGTTGTTGTTGAGCTGCAAGGGGAAAGTGAGTCAGGACCCTGTTGCTTTTAGACTTGATAGCTGGGGCTGGGAGCTGGGGGTGGAGGGGGGCGGGCAGAGCTTTCCTTCTCCAGGGACACCTAGAACTTCAGTGAATCTGGAAGCCAAGCCACCTCTGTGAGATTATTTACTGAAGAGACTGTGCTTACAAGCCCACGAGCACACACACACACACACACACACACACACTTGAGGCTCAGGCCTGAAGCCAAAGGGCAGAACAGAACGTCAAGGGAGCTTTTTCCTGGACGCTGTCCTGTCAACGGCTCTGCCCAACCCCCAGCCTCCACGAGCTGGCATTTACCCTCCCTCCTGTGGGCAGCTGCCCAGTTTGCTTATTGCAAACTGCCCCCGGCCTCCTACCCGTGCCTGACCCGCTGGCTGGTGCCAACCTCAAACCCGTCTCTCCAGTGTGGCTGACTCACAGCTTGACAATGGCCACGAAAATCCTCCTCTGTGTTTGATTAATGAACCCAGTTTGCATGGGACAGGGGGATGATTCTGGGGCTGCAGAAGCAGGAAGGCAGCAGGGGGCAGGAGCAGGGGTGAGGAGAGGGGGACGCCACAGAGGCCGCTATGCACTGCTACTACACCAGAGGGGTCACAGAATGGTTTCTAAATGTAATCCCACGGCACCTGGGTGTCATGGCCATCTCCAGATGGTATGGCCATCTTGGTGTAATGGATGGGGATAAAAAAAAAAAATGAAGTATGGAGAAGCCAGGGTCATCCCAAACAGGAGTTCCAACTCATTTCTCAGGTGCTTCCATTCCAACTGCTCCACTGAGGTGCAGCCAGAGAGGTGAGGGGCCCAAGGGAACAAGAAAGCAAAGGCAAGACAGAAGAAGGGGCAGCAAGCACCAGGAAGGGGCCAAGTGAAGCAGCTGGAGGGGAACAGGCAGAAGAAATGCACAAGGGTGGCCAGCAGGAAGGAAGACAGGTTGCCGGGAGAGTTCGTTGTCCTGGTCTTCATGACCACCGGGATGTGCCTGGCGCACTCGGTTACACCCACTCTCAAGACGTGACAAAGGACAGTTCTGGTCCCGAGTGAACCCCCCAGCGCCGCTGACCACCCCTCCTCAACCGCGTGGGCACTCACCGCGTTGACGGCCAGGTTGCCCCGGGCATTTTGTGGTGCCAGCCCGTAGAGGATGCCTGCCCCAGCAATGGCGCCCACCAGCTGGGCTGCCACGTAGAAGAGAGCCCTGAGCAGCGAGATCTGGTTGCCAACGAGGAGGGCCAGGGTGATGGCCGGGTTGATGTGGCCACCACTGACGGGCCCGAGGGCCTGGGCCAGAGTACCTATAGCCAGGCCAAAGGCCATGGCGATCTGCAGGATGGACGGCAGCGCCGATGGCCACTTGAGAGCCGAACCCAGGCCGAAGAAGACGAAGATGAGGGTGGCCAGGAACTCAGCGAAAACGGCCTTGAGGAAGGCCACGGAGCACACCTCCTTCTTCATGGTGGCCTTGGGGGCCCGGCGGCTGCGGCCGCGGCGTGGGGTGGCCGTGTGGGCGTCGGGGGCGGCGTCGTCGTC